CCCTCCACCAACTCGAACGCGAGGAAAGCAAAGCGCGGGATGGGCTGCATTACGCCTGGGGGGATGGGCATAATAGTTTGTTCATCGACTTCACCCTCGTGAAGGACGCGATGCTCGCGGCGAGGGAGGGCCGCGCGCGCGCGGCCGCGGCCCGCCGGGCCGCCGAAAAGACGCTTTACGAGCGATGGCTCGGGGAGGACCTTCATTTCGGCGCGATCAACGCCTCCGGGGGATTCGCGGCGGACTACCGCGCGGCCTGCGAAACGCGGCGCGCGCGGGGGCCCCATCGGGTGGATTTATTCCAGTTTGACCGCTACTTCCGCGCGCGTCGGGCGCCGCGGTTTTTGGTGGATTTGCAGGAGCGGGAGAAGTGCGCGTTCGAGCTCCAGGACCTGCAGCTCAATCAGGAGAAGGAACTGAGGGCGGTCGATCCGTCGAACACGGTAAGCTTCTTTCAGAATGAGGAGCGAAAGCGGTTATTGTCTTCCCCCCATTATACAAACCCCACCCCAACTCCTCACGGGGAGGAGGGCGAAAAAGGGATTTTCTATTTCTCCGCGTGGAAAGCGCACCCGACGTTTCCGTTTGATGATGAGGACGGGCGTGTGGTGGATTTGGCGGCGTGGAATGCGAACGCGGGGCTGGATTGCTTTGGAAAAAAGGCGGAATGGGCCTGGGCCTCGAAATGCAATTCCGGAGAAGCTTTTGCAAGCGGAACGGATACTATGCATCCTCCTCCTCCTCATCATAATAATAGTTTAGTTAGCATTGCGGGTTCGTTTGCCACGTCGCCTTCTCGTGTGCAGGCGTTGGGGAAGGTCCTACAAGGATGGGAGGTGGGCGGATGGGAGTATGCGGAGCGGTGGCCGTCAGCCAAAGAACAGAAGGAAAAGACTTTTTTTAAATGGAGCCATAAAGAAGAAAAGGATAAAAGTGTGGTTCGTCGTCGCCGAATTTCACGACAGCGGATTCATCTGAGTTTGAATGTGGAGCGCGAAAAACTTTTGGCGAAACACGCGCGCCAGCGGGAGGAACTGCGGGAGGAGTTACGTTTTTAACATATTTCTGTTTTTTATTATATTTGGATTGTTCTGAAATTAAAGAGGGAAGGAGAGATGCATTTGTTATAGTTTTTTGATGTTAATTTCAGTATATACGCTTTTTTTTGCCATATTACTTCTACATGTTATAAAGGGTTCTTGATATCAATGTGATTGTAATAATGGATTGAGAAAGGAAGAATGCATACTCTCTTTAGTAAATTGTTATTTTTTGACACTCGTTTAATTTTTTTTCCCCATTGGACTTTCTATTCCTTTTTCTTTTTCATTATTTAAAGCACAGGTGAAAAGGGCGTCTAACAACAGCCTCCATTAATTTCGGTCGATTATTCTTTTTTTTTTGCTCCAGGAGGAGGAAACCATTATTCTTTATTATGCGCCGATCGCCTTTAGTTTATCAACTTTCTCGTATTTATGAGAGCCATCGGGATTCCTGGCAAAAAGTCAAGCGGGTGGAGCGCACTCGAACGCGGCGAATGCAGGCTCGTCGATCGAGCACCAACGACGTCAACAAGATGCAATACATTTCCGCCTTTATTGAAGCCTTTAGCGCGAATACCATGCATACGAACCTCGTGGAGGCGCGTTTGGAATCCACCTTGGCGAGTTCGCCCAAACAAACGGACGAGATCGGGTCTTTTTTAACGACTTCGTCCTTGAATTCGCCGGATATTTTATTCGGATCCTGGCGTGAGGCCCCGTCCGCCGTGCGAAGATGTTTGCGATCGGCGGGGGTGATGGGGCATGACGTCCTCCGCGAGGCGCGAACGCCGCCGGAGTGGAGTTTGGACGCCCTTGGCCGCGTAATACCGCAAAAGATGGAAACAATGAAATCTTTTATGAACTATTTAAACGGTTTGGAGTGTCGTTTTCCCCGCGGGCGGTCCCCCCGCGGGAAAGAAATCGACATTGGGCGGTTATTGGGTCGATATCGAACTCTTCTTCGGGAGCTTGGGATTTCGCAACGTGGTGGAAGTGGGAATCAACGAAATTCTTCGAGTGCATTTCCAATGCAATCCAAAACTTCATTAATTTCATCCACGGAGACGTTAGACGTTGTGGAAAGGAATTTAGCCTCCTTTTTACTTCAACATTTCACACTTCGGTTGGGGTGGAGGGTGGGGTTGGATTTTGTTAAAAAACGTATCGCGAATGGGAGTTTTCGACGCACAGGGTCAAGCCTTCGAGAGGACCTTTCCCAACAAATCGCGGTTTTTGCCGAGGCAGTTCGATATTCGAACTCCACATCACTGCCCCCCTTTAATGAAATTGAAAATCTACTTCAGGAATGCGCAAACGCCATGAATTCGGAAGGTCTTTCCACTTCTTCCACTAAAGAGTCTCCTTTACTCCCAGTCGTTGTGGCTCCTGTTCTTTCCATTTTAAACGTCAATTGTTCAGATTCGTTAAAAGTTTCCGTGTGCGATTTGAAGCGGTTAGTGGAAACTTATTTATCGTATTATCAATATTCAAAAGGACGGCGGCTGAGGTATCTTCCGGCGATTGCCTGGGGGGAATATTTACATGCCCTACACCGCTTTGGCGCTTCCCTGGAGGAAGTTCAAAAAATGACAGATGAAATAACAGATTCCACGATAACAAAAGGTTCAGAGGATTTACTGCGAAATCCGCATGTTTGGCGAGGTTATTTCGCCTGCTGCGATGCCGACCACGCGCTTGAAGTTTTTCAATCAAATCGCTCGCATTATCGTGTAAAAGAAACCGCAGCACTATACGCGGTACTCATGGAAAAGCTTCTTTTACCTCAAAACGATAATAAAATAAATCACTATAATGGCGAGAGGCTGGAGAAGGCATCAGCATTATGGAAGGAACTTCAACGTAAAAAGGAATCACTTATAATCGGTACTTCGAGCGTATGGATTGCAGTAATTCAGCTGTATTTAGCTAAACAAGAACACACCAAATTAATGGAACTCTCCATTGATTACGAAAACTTTTTGGTATATTTTAGCGTTGACCTAAAATGGTGGGAGGGTGAGGGGG